AGACTGAGTCTTGTTCTGTCACCCAGGCTGGAGTGCAGTGACATGATCTTGGCTCATTGCGACCTCTGCCTCCTGGGTTCAAGTGATTATCCTTACTCAGCCTCCTGAGTAGCTGGGATTACAGGCATGCACCACCATACCCAGGTAATTTTTGTATTTTTAGTAGAGATGGGGTTTTACCATGTTGGCCAGGCTGGTCTCGAACTCCTGACCTCAAGTGATCCTCCTGCCTTAGCCTCCCAAAATGCTGGGACTACAGCACCCCACGCAATTTTTATTTTTTTAAGTTGAGCATATGTGAAGGCAGGGCCTAGTGACACATAGCAAAAACATTTCCAAGTAGACATTACACTAGGGAATTAGTCGAAGTGTTCTTTTAAAGTACTATCTCTCAAATGTATTAAAAGAGAATCCTTGGATGTGCAATACCTTAATTCAAAGGCAGCTCATTATGTATAAACTCTCAAGCTTTGTGATAAACAAATGTGCATAACAGATGGGACTATTGACTTACAGCTCAGAGAATTTTACTGATGCTGAGACGGTTATGTGACTGGCTCTGCCACTGTCATCCCCATTCACTTCGTTTTGGAGCAATATGACATAAATGCCTTACATTTGGGTTTTCTCCATTTATCATCTGCTTCCTACCCCCTTGAAAGATAGCCATATTTGCTTTACTTGGTTATAAGATCCCATATTCAATGTCTTGAAGCCAACCAAATCATTTGACAAAGTGGGTTTGTAGTGCTGGCTATTTTGGTGAAAATAAGACAGTGAGATTTCATGACATCATCCAAAGTTCTATCAGATCTAGCTGTGGGAGAAAGGAAAAGAAGGGGGTCTCGGTCAGGATGCTCATTGCATACATGTGTGTTGTTCTCTAGGTCCAGATTTCTGTTCATTACGCTATGGGCTGGCTCTTATCATGCACTTCTCAAACTTCACCATGATAACCCAGCGTGTGAGTCTGAGCATTGCAATCATTGCCATGGTAAACACCACTCAGCAGCATGCTCTATCTAATGCCTCCACTGAGGGGCCTATTGCAGACACCCTCAATAACTCCAGCATATCCATCAAGGAATCTGATACAAAGGTAAGTATGACAGAAAATAGGGCTCTTTGTTGAGAGGAAAAAACTTTGAAAGGAAGGCATAGATCTTGATTCTGTGGAGTATAGAAGTATACATTTCCAATGACAAACTAAAACTGACTGGAACTATTTTTCTTTGAGACATTGATTACTTCTATAATAAAAATAAGATTTCATTGAGGTTATTATGATTATAAGGTGGGTGAACTGTAGGATTAAATGTGAAAAATTTAAAAATGGAACAGTTTATGTGATGTCTTCAGTGAAAAACTAGATATTACCTGGGCACATTCTTATAGGTTACTCAATCCTATCCAGTTCTCTGCCTGCTTTACTGTTTCTAAGCAATTTTATAACCCTGTAAATTCTATATAACAAATAGAAATGCAAATAATTCTTGTCCATAGCTTTGCAAATAAATTTTGCCAAGAGAAAAATCAGTTAAAACTTTTCTCCACTCACCTCCTAGTGGAAATCAGCCACTTTTGCTGTTTGTTTGTTTATTTATTTTTTGAGATAGAGTCTTTCTCTGTCGTTCAGGCTGGAGTGCAGTGGCGTGATTTCAGCTCATTGCAGCCTTCGCCTCCTGGGTTCAAGTGATTTTCCTGTCTCAGCCTCCTGAGTAACTGGGACTAAGGGGGCGTGCCACGACTGCTGGCTAATTTTTGTATTTTTAGTAGAGACAGGGTTTCACTAGGCTGATCTCGAACTCCTGACCTCAGGTGATCCACCCGCCTTGGCCTCCCAAAGTGTTGGGACTACAGATGTGAGCCACTGCACCGAGCTCTGCTGTATATTTAAAGTATATTTCAGCATTGCTTCCTGCTTGTGTTATGCGTGATTCTTTGAGTTTTCCTTTGAACCAGTTATAACATCTTATTTACTCCCTCCATTAATCAATGAGTTAAATAAAATCTTTGCTGTATGCTTATTTTACATTTATATGGAAACCATGAATTTACCCAATTAAAAAAATTATCCTTTAAATTATCTTGTACTGTACATTTCCAATGTCATCACTATAATTCATGATTAATGATTTTATTACATTGGACCCAGCTTATTTACAATGAGTACATAAATTTATTGTCTCCAGTCTTTCCTCCATTATCCCATCTACATATCCACACTGAGTAGATTCACCATTCAGGTATCTTGGATACCTTCAAGTTGTCAAACATACAGTGTTCACTGGACATGCTGTGTTCCTCCGGAATTTGGACCTACTTCTCAGCACACTCACATCTGCTATCAATGACCCATGGAAAGTTTTTGCTCTGAGCAAGCCAGAGTCCCTGTTAGTTTCTTCCAAATGCTACAAGTTCACTTTTGCAAATTTTTCCAATGAGATAAAATTTTCCTTTTTGACTTTCTATAAATCATAGTCATTTTTCAAGGGATAGTTCAAATATTGCTTCCTTTCTGGGACCTTCCTGAATTATTCTTTTTCCTCTCAAAGTTGCTGTTTTATTTATATTCATCCTCAAATCTTGATTCTCACATGATTCGTATACCTTGTATTATTTATTGTTTTTTTGAGTGGGTAAAATATTTTATATCATATTTTATATCCTTTGGCTCTCTATAGCATGATGCCAGATATTTAGGGGCCTTATTGCATTTATTTTTTATTTTATTTTAAAATCTATTTTATTTATTTATTTATTTATTTATTTTAAAATCTATTTACTTTTAGGTAAATATTCAGGTAATATAACTTATATAATTATTCAGGCATTTTAGGTAGTTATTTTAAAATAATTCAAATTATTTATTGAGTTGTATCAGAAGAATGTGATCTTATTCATTTGTAATATGTGTTTTAGAAACTCAGTTCAGCCAGGGCAGACCATAATTCCCAAACTTGAATTTTCTTTTTAATTAGGTACTGATTTTGGTTAAGAGTTCAGTAAAGCTTTGTGTGTGTGTTTTAAAAATTCTTTGATATAAGAGTCAACATGTTACTCAACTTTTACTAGAAGCAAAATAGAGGAAGCACTTTCACAGATGAAATATCTCTCATTGTTTTCTTCCATTTACTTCTTCCTATTATTCATCTATATAATCATTTTCTTTACCTCTTTTCTTCATTTTTTCTGTTTTTCTCTCCTTCTAAGAAAGCAAATTAGGGGCATAATTGGTTGTTTGGGAAGGTAGGAAGAATATAGAGAAAAACAAAAATAGATATTTTATAGTAGGGTCTCACCAACCTCAAGCAACTCTGACTGTAAAGTAGATTTTCATAATAGGACTTCTTGACAAAGAGTTTTCCTATTTTCCCCCAGGCCTCTGTGTATCAGTGGAGCCCAGAAACTCAGGGTATCATCTTTAGCTCCATCAACTATGGGATAATACTGACTCTGATCCCAAGTGGATATTTAGCAGGGATATTTGGAGCAAAAAAAATGCTTGGTGCTGGTTTGCTGATCTCTTCCCTTCTCACCCTCTTTACACCATTGGCTGCTGACTTCGGAGTGATTTTGGTCATTGTGGTTCGGACAGTCCAGGGCATGGCCCAGGTATCCAGATACTTTCTCATTCTGGGTGGGATCCAGATTCCTGAATTCTACAAAATATCAAAGGTCTTAATGATTTTCATTTCAGGGAATGGCATGGACAGGTCAGTTTACTATTTGGGCAAAGTGGGCTCCTCCACTTGAACGAAGCAAGCTCACCACCATTGCAGGATCAGGTAAGTGTGCACACATGGGTCATAGCTTTGTCATCTGTTCCATCCTACTGTGTCTTATCATCTATGAATCAAATAGTTTAGGGAAGAGGGAGAAAAACTACTACGGAAAAATTCAACAATACAAGACAGTTGCATCACAAATAAGAAAGATGCATCTGTACAGTAAACACATTGAGGCTTAGAAGTAGAAGAAACCACTGTGAGCTAGGATTCAGCTCAGAAAAGCCTTAGTAGTCAGAAAAGCCTTGTAGGAAAATGTTTAAACCTTTAAGAATTGCATAAATGGAAAAAAGATCAAGTAAACTATATATACACCATCTTAGCAATGATTTTGCAGTGAGAATTAAGGCTACCACAGCTCCAAGTGGTAAGGAGAGAAATGAGGCTAGAAGAGTTTGGAGTTTCTGTATTATTCTAAGCTCTTGACTATTCTATTGTGAGCTAATTAATTCTCACAACAACCCTCTCATGTAAGTACCATTTTAAATTCTTATTTTACAGAGAAAGGAGTTAAGGAAGGTGGAGATTAAGAAAATTGCCCAAATACAAATAGCCAGCAGGCGGTAGGTCTGAGATTTAAGCCCACGCAAATTTTAGCCCCAGAGCAGATACCCTTAATCACTGTGCCTTTCCGTGGTATGTGATCCTACTAAGGCCTCTACAACTTTATCAGTGCTGTTCTTCCCAGCCCATCATGCTGAGAGTATATACTCGAAGAGCAGAACTAAGATTCCATCAAGCTTCTCACTCCTAGGTCCACTACACAGCTGCATCCTGCAGACCTTTACCTCAAGTAACCCTCCTGCTTTCTTGCTTCCTTCCATCATAGTTGTCCCCACCTCCTCTATTTGCAAATACTATCTGCTGATCTCTCTCTCTTCTAGACTGGTTTCTTTCAACCTTCCTTCCACCAAAACCAAGTTATCTTGCTAAAGTAAAGATGAGGGCCGGGCGCGGTGGCTCAAGCCTGTAATCCCTGCACTTTGGGAGGCCGAGACGGGCGGAGCACGAGGTCAGGAGATCGAGACCATCCTGGCTAACACGGTGAAACCCTGTCTCTACTAAAAAATACAAAAAACTAGCCGGGAGCAGTGGCGGGCGCCTGTAGTCCCAGCTACTCGGGAGGCTGAGGCAGGAGAATGGCGTAAACCCGGGAGGCGGAGCTTGCAGTGAGCTGAGCTCTGGCCACTGCACTCCAGCCTGGGCGACAGAGCTAGACTCCGTCTCAAAAAAAAAGAAAAAAAAAAAAAAAGTAAAGATGAGGCATTTTTCCTCACCTGCTTGATAATTTTCAATGTGTTCCTTCATGTTTACAGACTAAAGACTGACCTCTTTATTGCATGGATACAAAAGTTCTCAGCCATCTGGCCCCAACCTTATTCCATTCAACTCCCCTGTGCAAGCATGGCTCTAGTGGCACCGGACATTGGCTGCTCCCCACATAGATCTGCACTGCACTTCCCTCTGGCTCTGCTCCCATTAGTTTATATGCCTGGAAAGTTCTTTGCCCCTGCTCCTTGTGCCAAAATTCTATCTATCCTATTGTGTAGCTTACGTAAAAACTTCCTAAATCTTATAATTATTGTCAATTATTATTATTACTTCCACGCACATTGTAGTTTTATTATCACACTTATATTTTACATCTTTTTTTTTTTTCAAATTACAGGTTGGAACCCATTAGTGAGTCATAAAATCCATTGGGTTAAAATCATTATTTAAAAAAATGAATAGAATAGAATAGAATAGAATAGAAATTCTTGGAGTGCATTGGACATGGTAAAGTTAAATATTGATTCATGAAACCATTGAGGCATATGTGTGTGGTTGTGTGTACAAGTGTTTATGTATATTGATGTGTGTGTTATGTTACCCTGTAAAATGCATTTCTTACTATGGGTCTCTGTGAATTATGTTTCTTGTTTGTTTTTTTTTTTAATGTAGACTCCAAAGCCTACATGGCATTTCACTAGTGACAATCAATTTTATTCACATTTTTCTCTCCAATTGGACCAGAAGCTCTTTGAGGGCAGGGGCTGTGTCTTACTGAATTTTGTAAGTCTTTCATTTCCTGCCCCCAGCCTCATATTAGATCATACAAGAATGCAACTGTAATCAGAAGAAAATACTAATGGGCTATGATAGCAGAGAGTTGCTGTGACAAACTAAGGGATTTAGATTTGGTCACATTGGTGTTGAGGAGTCATTGAAGAATCAGAGGGTTTGTTACTATTATTTATTAATTTTAATTATATCATATATATGACTTTATTGGGGAAAATCTGTGAGCAGAAATAATTACTCTCATTGCCCAATAATTCTAAGTCTGCCATCTCACTGTTGGGACAATGTTTAGAGAGGCCATGAAGTCTCAGCCTTTGCTATTTTCATAAGTGTTTTTCTCCCTCTTCCCTTTAGGATCAGCATTTGGATCCTTCATCATCCTCTGTGTGGGGGGACTAATCTCACAGGCCTTGGGCTGGCCTTTTATCTTCTACATCTTTGGTGAGTCACTTTCTCTTAAATCCTAATGCCTGCATTTCCTGAGCATCCGTTTTGGCACCTACATCACCCACATTCTTCCTATATGAAAGAAAATGTCCTTTATCAAATGGAAGATGATAACAAATGTCAACGGTTGGTATCATTTTTAATCTAGTCACACAACTTGATTAACACCTTCCTGGTGGTTCTGGGAAGCCACATGCACAGGATAGAGGAGTTGACTATTCACATGGCACTGACTTGTGATGCAGTCTTGTGCTTCCATATTAAGCATCTTCTGCAGAATCTCTACCACCACATCTAAAGTGCTTGTTACATGCAGTTAAGATGTCAGAGATAGTGAAGTACATCTTCAATGTGTCTTCATATTTTATTATAATTATTATTTTTGCCCAAGATGCCGTTCACCTATTCTCTACCAAGTTCATCTTGCAAAGCTCGATTCAACTGTGCCCTTCCCCATGGGCCCTTCCAGGGCTTACTCTATTAGATTCTGGCATTCTCTCATTTATGATATTTCCTCTCCAGGTTATGTTGGTGTGTAATTATTTATTTCTCCTTTTCTTTCCACTAAACTGTGAAATGCTTGAGGCAAGGAATCCATTCTACAATGTTTTCATCACTTGGGTATCATCATAGTGCCTGATTTTTAGCTTTAAAATAAAAGAATCAATGAATCCAGTAAATAGATGGAATTTAAAGAAAACTAGTCCTCAGAATCTTTTAACATAGAATGTTCTTCAAATAACAAATTCCAGTAATAAGACAATTTTCTACACTTGATTTTGTTGTTATAGCCAAATGGTATCATTAAATATAGTCCTGGCCTGAATGGCTTTCTCATTAATGGTGTTAATTATTTTGGTTTGTGCATGTTAACCAGGTATTGTACAGAAATATTTCTTTTGGGAATCCATAATGGATGTATGGCTTGAATACAAATAACACTGTCTCTTGTAAGTGCATTGGAAATTTTTTCCTGCCACATGATTTCATGGAAGGTTGTTTCGAGTATGTGTGACTGCAGTCCTGACTATTCAGATCTTCCACAAGACAATTTATGTGTGCATTAAGAAGTTGCTGCTCAAAATACATAACACTATAATCATTGGAGGCTTTAAAGTAGTTAATCAGCTATACAATGCCATGCTCATGTTATCTCCAGAGGGCTCTGACATTGACAAAAGGTGGCTTTCTATTTGAGACATAGTATCTTAAAAGCTTTAACAGGTTTGTAGAAGGATTGAAAGAAAGAATGGGAACATTTAGGTCCTTATGATAGAATAAGCATTAATTGATTAGTGTGTAGAAGGGAGAGGCATGCCACTTCAGAGGAAACTCCCTTCCCCTAGTAAACAAATCTACCTAAAAACTAATTTTATACCTTCTTCCCAGGTAGCACTGGCTGTGTCTGCTGTCTCCTATGGTTCACAGTGATTTATGATGACCCCATGCATCACCCATGCATAAGTGTTAGGGAAAAGGAGCACATCGTGTCCTCACTGGCTCAACAGGTACAGTGCCCACCATGTACCTGTGGCCCATGCAGTGGTCTCTAGGGCAGGGTGTGGATCTCCTCCAAGAGGCACCATCTTGGCTGCTCTAATACTCATGCTGATTAGATATTTCTTTTTAGCCCAGTTCTCCTAGACGTGCTGTCCCCATAAAGGCGATGGTCACATGCCTACCACTTTGGGCCATTTTCCTGGGTTTTTTCAGCCATTTCTGGTTGTGCACCATCATCCTAACATACCTACCAACGTACATCAGTACTCTGCTCCATGTTAACATCAGAGATGTGAGTTTACTTCCTATACTTCTATGAAAATGATAATGGTAATAAGGAGAAACAGTTCTGTTACCTATTACATTCTGGCTTTACATATAACCATTAATTTAACCTTCACAATGACCTTGAGATAGGTGTTGTTATAATTCCCTTTTCACAGATGTGGAAACAGGACACTTAGAGGTGAGATAACTTGCCTCAGGTTGCACAATACTAAGTGGTAGAGCTGCTGCAGCATCCGTATTCTTAACCACTATGCTATACTAACACACCAGCTGATTCCAAAGTTTCTTTTAGAAATTAATATTGTTGGGCTGGGCACAGTGGCTCATGCCTGTAATC